GTACAGGGTACAAATTCCCCAGGCTGCCCTTTGGTATCCATCCACCTCTCCACCTCCACCTCTCAGTTCTCTGCCTCTGCCCAGATCCTCCCGCACGATCCTGCTCCTCCTCTAAGAGTCTGGACTACAGTCACCTCCTCCCATAAGTCTTCCCTGAACTTGCTCTGACCCTTTCTACCCCGCCCGTGCTCCCATAATCCTCACCCAGCCTTGGCCACCTACACATCTCTGATTCGCCTCAACCCTGCCAGACCTGACTATAAAAGGTGGGAAAGGCCAGGCTGGCCAGGGTCTCCCTGCAGACCCCTGATTGTGGGCACATTTGAGGGCGTAGGAGAAATTGGTTGTCTTTTTTGTTTTGCTGTTGTGGTTGAAAAAAGTCAAAAGGTTAATGGGATTACATTTAATTCCACCATTTTCTCCCTTTTGCAGCCCCCTCTATCTGTCTATGTGCAGCCATTGTTAGAGCTGCTGGGTAATTTCCATTTTAGTGACTTCCAGCTCTGTCACGCATCTGTCACTTGACCAGCTCTGTCACTGGGGATGTGGGCTGTTTCTTATTCTTGCAGATGCTCACTGCCGATCTGTTTTGTACAGAGGGGTGTGTTTTGCTTTCTTGGTGTCTGTTGCATTATTTCTTTAGGCTGAATTCCCAGGGGTGCTATTACTGGGTCAGAGGATATTGACTTTGGATGGCTGTGGCCAAGAACCACTTTCTAAGAGAGCTGGACCATTTACGTGGCAACGGGCCATAGGTGTGTGTCCCAGTGTCCCACTTTTGGGCTAATTTATGTGTACAATAAAACTCTAAGATGGATTTAGATGGCATTTTTTAAAAACATAAACTCTGTCCTTAACCCTGCCCAGCAAGCTGACGGTCTCCCCTCACCCTGGAGTGGGGACCAGGGCAGGGAATATCCCAGTCTCCATCCCAGAGGATGCCGGCTTCAGGGAAGCCAGGAATCTTTCTGGAAGAGCAATTCTAGCTCACAGTTACTGGGCACTTAACACGCACCAGGCCCCATACATTGTCTCATTTAATCCTCCTATAATCTCTGGGGGGGAGGTGCCCCTTTTTCAGAGAAACCAAAGTTCAGAGAGGTTAAGAAGCTGGCCCCAGGTCCCACAGCAATACAGCTTGACCTTTCTGGCTCCAAAGCGCTTGTTTTTCTTCATTAACTCTCAGCTCCTCTGCAGGGCTCGAACTTCACCCCCCTGCAAGACTGGGAAAGACAAGTGAGGGCAGTGCCCCAGGCTGGATACTGTAAGTGGACAACTGCAGGCCTGTCCGCAAAGACTTGTCCTGCTAGCTGCCAAGGTAACTGAGGCTGCCCGAGGGACCTTTGCTGCCACACTAATAGCAAGTGATGCTTGTTAGGCACCCAGTGCCTACCTCTTAGCTACGCAGCCTTCCGTCCTAGGAAATAGACTCCATTCCTGCTTGATTCTTCCTTTCCCAATCTCAGTGTTCTTTTGTTTGTTTGTTTTTGTTTTTGGCAGGAGATTGAACCCAGGCCCTTTGCTCTGAGCTACATCCCCAGCCCTTTTTAGTTTTTATTCTTGGACAGAGTCTCATTAAGTCACTGAGTGGCCCCGGTTGGGCTAGAATTTACAATCCTGCTGCCTCAGCCTCCCAGAATGCCAGGATTATAGGTGTGCACCACCACATCCAGCTCAGCCTCAGTATTTGTATCTGTAAAATGGGCAAGATGGATGAGGTGAGGCCACCTTAGGGACCCTTCACTTCCTGCTCCTACTAGCAGTGGCCCCTTCACTCTGGTAAGAAGCCTGGCCTTTTAAATCCCGGCTCCACCACCTGCTTGTTGTGACCTCAGACAACCCCTTCTCCTCTCCAACCCCCAGTTTTCCCATCTGTTAAATGGGAATTGTCATCCTGTTGTTTTTCTTTTTTCCGGTACCAGAGATGGAACTCGGAACCTTGCACTTGTGAGGCAGGTGCGGCGCCACTGAGCTAAATCTCTGGCCCTGTCATCCTGTCTTCTTTTCAACCCTTGCCCCTGGCAGGGGAGACCCTTACAGGGTAGACCCCCAGCTGGCAGGGACTGCTTGGGCAGAAAGCTAAGCCCACCCTGTGGTCTATTTGGAAAGGGGGGGTGGTCTATCTTACATCCAAGATGTGCAAATGCTCACATATTCTACTGCAAAGGATCCAGGGCTGACGTGGAGAGCCCTGTGCAGATGTGCGCATGAGTAACACGACAGGACCCCTAGAACAAGAGTCACAGCACTGCAAGCTTCCCAGAAGACTCCGTCATGTCCTCCAAGCCAAGGCTTCCCCCAGGGCTTCTTTCGCCAGGGGTCACCCTTGCCAGCATCTGATCCTCAGGCTCTGTGCTCCTTCATGTCTGGCTCCCGGGACAGTGGCTTGCCATTTGTCATTGCTGTTGCTGTCCCATTGCACTGTGCCTTCATGCTCTGACCCATTCTCCTGTGGTGGACGTCCAGGCCGTGGCCAATGT